TGAAATATTTTGCATCTTTCATTCTAAATCTTGGAAAGATATGGTACATATATTTATAGTATCTTTGATTTGAACATTGAATTTTCATCAGAAATATAGAATGCTGCTTTTCACAAAATACATATTTGTAAATTTATTCCAAAAATAACTGAAAGTGCTTTAATATTTGAATCATTTGCTAGCTTTCATATTTATATGTACATTTATTAAAAATAATTAAAGCAACATTTTATGTGCTCAGAAATTATACCTAACTAGTACCTAGTGAATGGATGATGTGGATCAGACCAAGAACACCAAAAAATGCAGGGTAAATGCCACATTTTCCCCCTTTTCTTCACTGAAGGTAAATATATATTTCATCATGGATGTGTGATCTAGTAAGTCCATTAATTTTTCTAAATCCAGTGAATACCTTAAGCACATAATTCACTAAAATTGGTACCCAAAATTAAACTACCCTGACTACTGGAAACTATGAATTTTTACTTAAATAAGTAAATTTGATAGATTATTTTATGCTTCTATTCACAAAAGTATTCTATTAATTTGTGATTGAATTATATAAAATGCTTTATCTGGGGCAGTTAAGGTAGTGCTTTTTCACTCCAGAGAACATATATAATGTACATAAGCGTGGAAAGTAGAAATTGTAGTAGAAAAGTGCTAACGGAGTAGTTTTCCCAGTAATTGTCTTAACTTTATTCTACCCCTGATGATCACTGGGCACTGAACTAGTTACTTTTTTACACTTGGTTTGTTGTCGGGTTTTTTTTTTTTTGAGACAGGGCCTCCCTGTAGCCCCAACTGGCTGGTTTCCATCTCAAGAGAGATCCACCTGTGTCTGCCTCTAGAGTGCTAGAATCAAAGGCGTACACCACTATGCCTGGCCACTTGTATGTTTGTTTGTTTGTTTATTTATTTTATCATTGGTTGAAGCATTAGGATACAACACAAAAATGTCCCAGACACTTTTAGGCTTGAAAAGAACACATAAGTAGTGTGGGAAAGAACTCTCATAAGTTATTTTGGGGTAAAAACAGCAAGCTAAACTACCCGAGCTGGTAAGAGTAGAAACACAGAAGGAATCACCCCTGCTGTTGTCCAGTGGGCCCTAGCATGGCTGACTCTGGAGATGCTAAAACACTGGAGTAGTCTCTCCTTATAAACTTGGATTAGATGTCACCTGTTTTTCCTGTCAAATTTAATATTCAAAGAATCAAGTTTTTGTAAAGCATCTAACATCTCATAGCTTTAAACGAAGTCTGCGGGGCTGGGGGTTTAGCTTAGTGGTAGAGCGCTTGTCTAGCAAGTGCAAGGCCCTGGGTTCAGTTCTCAGCTCCGAAGGGGGAAAACAAGGTCTGCTTCATTAAATCACACTCTCAGAGTTTAGTATAGAATAAAAATAAAATAATGTTCATTTACCTCAAAGTTATGGGCTCTTAAAATAAAGAGAAAAATTTGTTTAGCATCCAAATGTCTAGGTAATTGTGGTAGCTCATTATTTTTGAATCCTGAGAAGTCACAACCCTAGGAAAAAACACTGAAATGTCATTTAACAGAAAATATTTTATTCTCAATATTCTTATGACTATAGAAGACAGATAAATATTTATCACTTTGCCAAAGTAATTATGCTGTTTCATGATACCATATTAAATAAAAATTAAGTCTCCTAAGAAAAAATTTTCATATCTTTTGCTTCATATATTTTGCATATTCATGAGTCAAATTTCAAAGCAAAACAAAATTATATTTCTGAACTTATTTTGGCATACACTCAAATGATCAAGAATTTAGATAGACTGTATGTAAAGAAGTAAGAATGAGGAAACCTTCAAACCTGTCCTCAACTCTCTTTCCTGGAGCACAAATCTGTAGTAACACCCGTATTATTATAAATCTGTAGTACTATCTGCATTATTACAAACATTCCTTGGGCCCTACATAATAATACTTCTGACATATAATCTGGCAAAACAAAAATTGAAATACCTCTATATTCTTCTCTGTTTCCACTTCATCTGAAAGCTGAAAAAATTTAGACAAAATGGTTAAAATGATAAGGGAATTTTACATTAAAATCCTGACAAAGAAATCCAACAAACTATTAACAATAATTAATAAAGCTTAGGTTCATATAATTTATCTAAAAGTAATATGAATAGATTCTGAAAAGTTTTTTTTTATAAAATTCAAGAGTTAGAATTTCAAAACTTTTTTCAAATAAAAAAATTAGTGAACACACAATTATCAGTATTCCAGTGTTCCCACAATCTAAAACAGGTTATTTTTCACATTTGAGGATGTGCTTTAGAACTATAATTTTAAAATATAAAAAAGCTTATATATAACAAAGTAGAAACTTTATACTTCCCTTTGCCATTATCTCTAGTTCTACACCTATGTCCCTCTTATTTGAGACAGTGTTTATAATTTTTGTTTTATATCCTTTCATTCCACTTTACACACACATACACTCACATGGGTATTTTCAAATTTAATGATCTGGGCATGATGGCATACACTTTCAATCCTAGTACTTAGGAGGCAGAGTCAGGGAAATCTCTGTGAGACTGAGGCCTTGTCTAAATAGTGAGTTCTGGGCCAGCTGGGCTACAGGAAGACCCTGTCACAAACAAACAAACAAACAAACAAACAAACAAAAATTGAAGGAAAGATACTGGGTGCCACACCCTCCTCAGTAGTGAGGAGCTTCTGTGTGGGACCCTGGAGGGGGTGATGATGGACTAGTGCCTCAGACTTGGTGCTGTGGAGGAGATTCTAGACCAAGAGACTGAATGGACTGCTGACAGCCTGGCCTCCAAAGTTACCAGGCTCAAATCACTGGATTCCGATCACTGATAGGGACACAGAAGACCAAAACCGATACCTGGATGACATAGACTCGGATTTCCAGACTATGGCTGGCCTGCTCATAGGGAGTGTGAAGTGCTTTTCCACACTGGCATAGTCTGGGCCAAGCAACCACAAGCTTCTATATGACTTCATTCCTTGTGAAACCTGGCAGCCACAGAAGAAAGAAGAAAGGAAGTAGAGAGCTCTATAAAACTCATGCCCAAATAGCTTATGTGACCTACCTGGTCTCCATGGAAGTCCTACAAATAAAGTTACTTGTATTGGATAGAGAAACATGCTAAGGAAATAATCAAGATGAGGAATGACTTTAAGAGGCAAGCTGAGGTCAAGCATGATAAGAAAATGAGGGTGTTGAGAGATGAACTTGACCTGTGGGGAAAGACTAAGATCTAGGAAGTGGAGGGGAGGAAGAATGGCCAAATCAACACATGATGCAGCTTCATGATGAAGCATACACTGGTATCAAGAACAATGACATCACCCTCAATACTGTGACCCTCATCAAGTCCCTCAGGGTACTGATGTGGACTGGGAACAGAGGCCAGAGAATGTAGACCCAGCCCTCAGTCTCACCAGATCAAATACTCCTTTCTGTAAGAATATTGGAAAATGTCCCCAGGCTCCCCCAAGAAAGAAATCAAATATTCATATTTAGTAACTTATTTTTTAAACTCAATTTTGGATTTGTGTCTATGCGTGTGTTGTGCATGCTCATGTGTATGAATGTGCCTATGTGCATGTGCATGTGGATGTGGAAGTCAGAGATCAACAGTGATTATCTTCCTCAATCCCTCTCCATCTTATTTTGGAGACTGAACCTGGATCTCACAGATTCAGCTCCACTGGCTGGTGAATAAGCCCCAAGGATTTCCACTTCAGCCTCCTCAGCACTGGGATTACAGACATGCACTGAGTGCCAAGGATCCAAACTCAAGTCCTCATGCTTCCATAGAAAGTATTTTAATGACTGGGACATCTCCCTAGCTCCTAGATTAAGATTTGACAATCTACTAAAGTTGGTATTTATGGAATTAGTTAACTTTTATATACTTCTACCAATCTAATCATTCCCCTACACACAGTATAAATAATACATCAATGAAACTTTGCAGATATTTTTTTGCCAAACAGCCAAAGAATAAAAGATACCTCATTTTACAAGCCATTTTAGAATAGAGAGATCTAAAGCTAAGCACCTCATTTGTTGATATCATTATAGACTTGATATAATCACTACAGATAGTATGGGAATTATGATGTCTTACCAAATATAGATAAAAATATAAGTAAAATGAAAATGCATCCAGTGATGCATTAAAAAGTGTAGCCTCGGGGCTGGAGAGATGGCTCAGCGGTTAAGAACACTGGCTGTTCTTGCAGAAGACCCAGGTTTGAATCCCAGCACCCGCATGGCAGCTAAAACTGTCCATAACTCCAGTTCCAGGGGATCTGATGGCCTCTTCTGTGCTCCGTGGGCATTGCACGACATGGGTGCACTTACCTACATGCAGGCAATACACTCATACACAGAAAATAAAAATAAAATATTTTTAAAAATTACTTTTAAAAAGTGTAGCCTAAGTTTGCAGCAAACATACATGCAAACTTTAGATAAAATCAATTAGATAATGTATTTTTAAAGTATATGAGACTGAACTTGTGAAAAGATGCCAATATAATCTGCCACATTCACAGATTAAAGGATTACAGTATCTTCTGCTCTCACTACAGTGGCCTCATTCCTCCCATTTAAGACAACCGAGACTTATTCATGTTTCGAGCAGTGATATCTATACCTCTATCTTTATTCATATCTACATATATATATATATATATATATATATATGTACTTCTGTATATTTTGAATTAACTGGTATTGTGTAGCAATATCCTCCACACTGAAACATTTCCATCCCCAGGGAGGTTCTAAATTGAAACTTTTCTTCTTAGAGGGAGGCTTAGTAAGAATCAGGAAGTAAATAACTCAAAAGTCTCAGGAAGTTCCTGAAACTTAAAAGAGTCACATGGCTCCTCCCTCCCCAAGGTTTTATAAGCATAAGGACGACCAGGGAGAAGAGATTTTCAGATCCCTCCTTAACTGCTTACAAATTGTACAGAGAGCTCCAGGATCCTCACTCAGACTAGGGAGAGGTTTTCAGTGAGACAGCTGCCTTAGAGTCATCCATGCTCCTGTTAGTAACCCCTCACTCACTCTTGTAAGTAACCCCAATAAACTAATTGGTTAAAGATGAACTTTGGTGGAATCAACATGTTGGTTCTCTATCTCAGGTAGGTAAACATTAGTCATTCCTCTCCAGAATGAAAACTAGTCACACAACTAGTAATGAAAATAAATTACTAATGTAAAAATATTCAAGTTTATATTTAAATGCAATATACTAATATTATTTCCATTATTAGCAATGACAAAATGAGAAACCCCTAATATTAATGAATAATACACATATAGCAATAATTTTCCATAAACCAACACTAACCCTTTGCATAACAACAGATAAAAGGTCTCACTGACATTATTAATGAAAGTTTAGGATACCTAGGAAAAATATAACAATAAAATTATAGATATGCTTAAAATAAGATAGTCTATTTCTTTATACAGAAATAAATACCAATGTATTAAAGGCTTAAACTTCTTAAACTATAAGCTAATACAAAAGAGCACATGAAAGGACAGTTAGAGGATGTGATAAAGATTTCCAAAATACCATGTCACTAAAAGCAGAAAGTTTTAGTGAAAATTACATATGTGTCCATGAGAATATTTAATTATATACAGCAAAAATACTTTTGAGTTAAGTATAAGTCAAATGGAATAAATATCTTCAACATGCACACTAAGAAGTCACAAAATTTTTAAAGTATAAACAATTGTTAGCAATAAAAATACGTAAAAATTGGTCAAAGTTCATAAATATGCAAATTACAATGATGGAAATAGAAAAACTACCTGTCAATACATATTGAAACACTAGAATTTACCTGGAGGTTTTTTTTTCCTCAGTTTGTTTAACTTTTGGAAATTTATCTTATAATCAGCAATAAGCACAATCATTAGTTCTAAACATGTTCACAACAGATTTGTGAAAAAATAAATGTCCAATAAGAAAGCTATCACTTTATTTTTTCTGACATACTCATTTAACAAATAGTATAGAAAAATATTTGTTAGCAAAAATTTTAAAATTCATTTAATCAATTAGAAAAATATAACAATCTTGATTCTTTTAAAAAAGGAAAAAGAGATTCCTGGTCTTGGGTCCCCAGACACCTGGGGAACTGGTGCTGCTTCCTGATCTTTTTCGACCAGGCCAGCTTGGTGCCTTCCTTGGGCCCCAGAGGCACTGCTTCCATGGGACCTGGCCCCGCCCTCACCTCTCCCTGCTTCCCGGACCTGCACCACTGGCTAACTCTCCTGGCCCGCTCTCCCACCCTCAGGCCTCTCTGGGGGGAAGTCTACCATGCAGCCCTCCGCGCCTTGACTTCGCCAGCCGCGCTCACCCTTCCATCTCCCCCGCTGTTCTCTACTCCAAGCTTGGGCCCTGTGCCATT